ACTCCGTGTGCCTGGGCCCTCCTCCCCTGTGCCTGGGCCCTTCACTCTGTGTGCCTAGGAACTTCACTCCCGGTGCTTGGATTCTACCCTCACCCCGTTCCCGGGACCCTCATCCTGTGCCTGTGACAACGGCATCTTCACACCTCCTATTCCCAGGACTCTGACCCTACCGTGCCTGGGGCACTGGCACACCTCTGTGCCTGGGACTCTCACCACCTGAGCCCTGGACTCTCACCCCGCATGCCTGGGACACTGGCACAGTCATATCCTGCGTCTGGGAACCTCAGTCTGTTCCAGGGTCCGTCACTCCCCTGTGGCTGGGACACCAGCACCCTCATCTCCCCATTCCTGGGATCCTCATCCCCCTGTTCTAGGACCCTCACCCCCTGAGCCCGGGACACCAGCACCCTCACCCACTGGGCCTGGGATCCTCCCCCTCCCCCATGCCTGGGTCCCTGTGGCACTTAGGAACATTCTTGTGCCCTGGCACCTTACTCCGAGGATACCCGCGATGCCCTCCTGAGCATGATCTTTGTAAGTACTGAGAGTTGGATACCCCTCTCCTGTGCCACTTTTTCGAGGGCAGCCAGCCTCCCTGTGCCCAGGACCCTGCTCCCATCCTCCCAGTGCAGGACACCCAGCCCCCATCCTGTGCCCTGTGCTCACCATATAGGCAGAAAACTGTGAGACTGCCATCCTGTCCCTGCCACCCTGTGCCCCGGCATGTCTGTCCCCTCCTGTGTGCTTGGGAATCTCTGCTCAGTGCATGTTGGCAGATTGCCCCATCACACTATCTCATGGCCCTCCTGGCTCTAGGACTCCCTCTTTCCTGGATCCTTCCCTCTTGTGTGTGTGACTCTTTTCCCTGCCCTGGGTCCCTCCCTCTTTGCCTGGAACCCCACAGGCTCCAGGATAGTCTCAGAGAGCCTTCCACACTGGCTTCTGGGGAGAATCTGGGGTACAGGGGACCCGACCTTTTTATTACCCCCTCCCTTCCTTAAATGTAGTGATCTTCCACTTCTGAGAATAGACTTTTCTCTGTCAGTCTGGGCAGGGCTGCCCCTTCCCATGCTCCAGGATCCTCCAGATGACAAGTCAGTGCCTTACGGGGGACAGTTACTGTACACTTTAGAAACTCTGCTACCTGGAACAAAGGGGAATGAGATTGAGACGTGCAGGAAACTTTTCCTAGCTGCACGCTGTCTAATGAATGGCCTGTCTGGCAGGCAGGCTGTGCGAAGGGGAGCTCTCGGTGTGCCTGCCGTGAGGGAGGGGGTTAAGATCTGGGTGTGAATGTGCAGAAGTGAGCGAAAGGAAAGTGTGTGCGTGTCTGGGGGGGGGGGGGGGGTCTGGGAAGTGGAAGAGGAGGAGGAAATAAATATGTGTCAAGGAGAAGGGCCTGGGGGATGGGAAGGAGGATGAAGAGGGACAGCGTAGTTGGGGATTAAAGGGGGTGAAGGAGGGAAGGGAGAAGATGGGGTTTTAAATGAGGAGAAGAGAAAGGGGGAAGAGGGTAAGAGAGTGGGAGGGTTATAGAGGGGGAGGAGGAAAAAAGGTGACGGAGGCTGCTGGTGGATTAAAGAGGTGAAGGGAGAGAAGGAGGTAGGTTAGAGAGAAATAGGTAAAAAGAGGTAAGGAGACTGTTGGAGGTTAGAGAGGGAAAGGGGAAAAGAGGGGAAGGAGTTAGCTGGGCTTAAAGAGTGAGAGGGGGGAGGAGAGAGGCAGGTTTGGAGGATTTGGGGGCAGGGGTACGATGTGGGGGGCTAGTGGAGGCAGCGTCTGAGCCCTCCTTCCCCCGGTTGGCTGGTTTGCAGGTGCGGGCCAGCGCCATTGCGCAGGACGCCGATCAGAACTACGACTATGCCAGCAACAGCGTGGTGCTGCACCTGGACTCGGGGGACGAGGTGTACGTCAAGCTGGATGGAGGCAAAGCACACGGAGGCAACAACAATAAGTACAGCACTTTCTCTGGCTTTCTTTTATACCCCGATTAAAAGTGTGGCCGATTGCATTGTACCCACCTCCCCGCCACTGTCTCTACGGGTCAGTTTCGCGTCATTCTCAATTTGTACATTTGATTGGTGGAAACAAAACAAGCGAGCCCCCACCCCAACCCTTGGTGTATCTCTGTCCTTGTGTTTGTTACACCATGAGATCAGCTGCTTGAAACTGACCAGCACCTTAGTTCCATGAGTGTATAAAAGATTCCAGGGTAAAACTGTCACTCACACTAAGTTAGAGCTGCTCAGTCTTGATACATTTTGCTTTATTATTATCATCATCTTGATTGATTGATCTGAAGAGTGGGACTGAATTATTACATGCATTGGTTCTTCTTATGCTGTTTGTTTGTTTGTATGGGGTCAAGTGTAACTTTCTTCTTTCCTTTTCCATGCAATACTCGTGTGAATGATGATGTAATGAACGTCAAGTCTCTGTTCCTGTCTGGCAAACAATCTAACCACCACCAACAAAAAAATCATATTAAATTATGTTTTTAGACAATGGTTTCTCGCTGTGTGTCTGTTCCAAGGCTGAAAAGGGCGGTAGGTGGTGCGGGCGGTTGTGGGCACTTTAACCTTTCAGGTCTGCAGCAGAATTAAAAGTTAGTAAGGGAGCCCCTACTCCAGCCTCAGTTATTGTTAATGGACGGGGCGGGGGGAGTCTCACCTTTTATGTGGTTTTAAAAGGAGAAGGTACACACCATCATCCACATTTTAAAGGGATTGGAATCCATTCACAATAGATTTTCCTTGGTTTATGGGCCTAATCCAAAGCCTGTTGACATCAGTATGCTTTGGATCAGACTCTGTATCAATGATTGCATGAAATTGTATATTTATAGTATGATTGACCTATGTAATAAAGCATTAAAGGAAGAATTTTGTTTATATTAGAAAGAGATACAAGGTGGGGGAGGTAATACCTTTTATTGGACCAACTTCTGTTGGTGAGAGAGACGAGCTTTCGAACCACATAGAGCTCTTCTTCGGGTCTAGGAAAGATATTCCCAGCGTCACGGCAAAATGCAAGTGGAACAGATTTGTTTAGCACAATTAGTTAGCACATATTGTAAGGCAGTGACTCGCAACCTTTCCAGACTACTGTAGACCTTTCAGGAGTCTGATTTGTCCTGTGTCCCTCCCTCTCCCCCAAATTTCACCTCACTTAAAAACTTTCTGCCCTGGGCCCCAGCAAGCTTAACACTGGCCCTGGTGACCCCATTCAAACGAACTTGCCCACAGTTTGAGAACTGCTGCTATAGAATGCAGAACAGTATAAACAAGTCATTGTCTGTATGAAAATTTAGTTTGTACTGACTTCACTAGTGCTTTGTATGTAGCCTGTTGTAAAACTAGGCAAATATCTAGATGCGTTGATGTACCCCCTGGAAGACCTTTGTGTACCCCCAAGGTACACGTACCTCTGCATGAGAGAACCACCGTTGTAAGGGATCATTCAAGGTAGAGTGGCCCATACAATACTCAGTATGTGTATGTTTGTTTGTCTATTTACCACACACATACACACAAAATTTCAGGCATACATTGAAATAAAGTGGATCCAAACCGCACTGAAGTCAATGGCAGTCTTTCTACTGACTTCCCTGGGCTGTAGATCAGGCCCATAATCCATGTAAAAATCTATTGTGAGCTCTTTTTTGCTTCTCCTTCTCTCCCTGTTACATCTGAGTGACTGTACTTTCTCTGTTGAAAACTAAACACACTTATAGAATCTCACACACAATCCTGGCCTTTCTTGTGGGTGTGAATCATGACAGATGCTCAATTGGTGTAAATTGGGGTTGTTCTCTTGAAGCCAAGGGAGGTAGGTTGGTTTGCAGCAGCTGAGTTTCTGGCCCTCTCTCTTTCTTTTATTGACTCACATTCCATTGTGTCAGGGCCTGATTCTCCCCTTACTTTATGATGATTTTAAACAGCAGAGTTCCCTCGACTTCCATGGATTTACTCACAATTTACACTAAAGCGAGAGAAGAATCAGTCTCGGAGGCTCCCATTGGCCAGCTGAGATCAATTTCATCCCAGCTCTAACTCCACTGAAGCTAATGGAATCACTGCTAGTATGAATTTGTTCCCGCAACAGTTTGAGGCTGCACAAAGATTACCAGGCTCTTAAAGGCTATTCTGCCCCCTGTTTGGTCTGCAGTGTATATTGCCTCTTTACTGACTGGGGAAGAAGGGGCAAATTCAGCCCTGGTGTAAGAGAGAGTGTTCCTCCCCGCATCGCACCCCAAAACACCCCTCCTGCTGAGGAGGGGGAAGAGTTCATAACCAGGTTCATGTGTTATACTCTTACCAATCTCTAATGCCTTGTCGCTTGTATCATCTAGAATATGATTTAAACCAATGTCTGAGACCCAAATGAAGTATAATTGCTATGGATCCTCAATCCCCACTGGATCCTTAATCCTTTTTGACTATTCCTCCCTTCCCTCTGATGTGATGGAGCTTAGACACAAAGCCCTCGGTTTAAATTTCAAAAATTAAAATTGACATTCAGCAGCATTACCAGGAGCCAAGAGGAATTCTAAGGAGGTGCCTGGGCTCTGCTTTATCCTTTGCATTAAGAAGCAATTTGTACTTCTAACAAAGACCCAACTGTTCCCCCTTGGCTAAAGGGCAATGAAGATGCCTTGCAAGGGAATTGCTGTTCACAATACTTAAACAAATTTGAATCTTAGATTCTAAAATCTGTATTCCCTGGTGGAGCTTGCTCCTTGCAATTCAAATGCAGAGCTGGCGGTGAGTGCCTGCCAAGGTGTCAGCAACTAAGAGGATGATGGATTGATGAGGCAATAGGAAGACACAGGCTCGCAGTGGCACGCTGCCCCGACAGTGATCTATGTATCTGCACATTATCAATGTCAGGAGAAGGCTTGAACCACCCTCGCCAGACGTCTGATTTTCCACTTATCTCCCATGTACTAATTATCAGGCTGGATTACTCCCTGGGATGGCAACGAAAATGCTTATTGCCATGCCAGTGACAGTTTACACAATCGATACAATGAATGTCTCCCTCTGTTCCTCTCGGACGTTTTATTTTCCTCTCTTCGTGGCAAAGCCCTCTGCGATTGCTTTCGGAAGGACTTGCATGGCAATCGCTTGACATCTGCTGTAGTGGCCATTGTGCACAGGGGTCTAGTCTATTCAGGTTCTGAGACTGTGACCATCCCTGCGGTGTCCAAGCCCTGGGCTTTCTGCCTCCTAAGTAACTGCACTGAGACCAGGAAAGTAATCTAGAGTTGAAAAAGTTAGCGTAGTGCTTGCTTACAGATAGTACCACTGCTTCAATGACCACAGGAATGGCAGAGCTGGGCAAGCTTCCTGTTGCTTGGTGCATCTTCTGATTTGTGTGGCTTGCAGCAAGAACAGGGCTGCCAGTTCCAGGGGGGAACGCAAAGCAGTCAGTTCAAAACCTTTGTGGTCCTGTAACTGGTCTGGCAGGCCCATGAGTTTCCTACTCAGCTCAGAACCTGGGAAACTCCAAGCTGTCCCATATGTTCAATACACTTGATCATGCAAGGCGGTACGGTAGGCACCCAAAGCCATGAGTTGGATGAGGAAGAAAGGAAGGATGGGCCAGTGGTTAGGATGCTCAGTGGGGTTCAGTTCCCTGCCCTGCCACAGATTTCCTATGTGGCCTTGGGCAACTCACGTCCTGTCTCTGTGCCTCAGTTCCCCATCTGTAAAAAGGGGATAACAGCCCTTCCCTACTTCACAGGCGTGTTTGTGAGGATAAATACATTACAGATTGTGAGGTGCTATGGGAATGGTGGCCCTATCAGTACCTAAGAGAGGTGGGAGCTGTGGGTGCTCAGCACTTCAGAAAAATCACGCCTCTTTTAGTCAAGTGCCTAACTTCAAACACTCAAGTTCAAAAACTTTGGCCTGTGTCCTGACTCGGGGGGGGTGCTCAGCCCCTCTCCGGATCAGGCCCATGATTAGTGCCTGAGCTGTCTCTGGTCATATTGGCTTTGCAGGGAAGGGAGTGGGTAAGATGGTCCTACTTCTCCTTTTGCCTTTAGATATTACGCTGACTAGCTTTACACATGTTTTATCGATCCGATCTCTGCTGAGAAGCCTAGCATTTTTGAATCTCACTTTTAACATTTTACTTGGTGATTTTAATGTTCGTTTGTCCCCTGGTACACAGGAGCGGACCCCCATGCCCAAGATGGGTTTATCTGTGAAGTGCAATAAAAACAAATCAGGGAGGTTGGTTTTGGTGAATATTCATTCTGTGGCTTCCTGTTTATTCCATAGAATAAAGACTTCCCCAAATGTTTAGGCACCCTTTGAAGACTGGGAGAATAGCATGTACGTCTGGTTTTAAGTTTACACCAGAGGTTTTTCATAACTTTTGTAACAGAGGGTGATGGTTACCTTATTCTGATCAGACTGAACTCTGGGAAAGTTCTGATCCGGATCTAGACCTTGTGTCTCAAGACTGTCTCTGTCTCTTCTCATTAGCTGGAATGCTTGAGCCTGTTAGGATAAAAGAAAGATTGACTTGAATCTTCAGCCCAAACTTGAACCAAACCAGACACAACCCTCTGAGATTCAAAACAGTTTGGTTACTTTATTTTGTTTTGTTTTTGGTGCGCTTTTGCATTACCTAGCTGGAGCTGGTACTGGAAATGTAAATAACAGAATAGGGCAAACTAAATTAGGAATTTCCCATCCAGCTGATGCACAGGAATTCACATGAGAGAGCCTGTTCTTAGGAGATTTCACACCTGATGACAAAAAGAGGCTCATCTAATAACACAGTTGAATAAACCTGCCAACTTTAGCATGTTTCTGCAAACCTCGCCTCTGAAGGTCACTCCCAGTCCTCAGTTAATAACATGAAATATGTAGCTATCCAGCAGAGCATTTGTGGGGTGGGTATTTCAGGATTTTGTTGCACAATTTTGGAGGAATTTATAACATGGGGGTCTCTTTTCTCAGTGAGGCATGGGGATCTACGC